AAGAAGAAGAAGAAGAAGACGAAGAAGAAGAAGAAGAAGAAGAAGAAGAAGAAGAAGAAGAAGAAGAAGAAGAAGAAGAAGAAGAAGAAGAAGAAGAAGAAGAAGAAGAAGAAGAAGAAGAAGAAGAAGAAGAAAGAAGAAGAAGAAGGAGGAGGAGGAGGAGGAAGTGCTGGATCTGGAATCAGATGACCTGAGTTTGAAAACTAACTTTTCTACTTATTACCCATGTGACTCTGCACAAATCATTTAACCTCTTTAGGTATCATTTTTCTCATCTCTAAGGTCCTTTCCAGCTCTCAGTCTGTACTCCTAAGATCCAGGGTGGACAACAGTGTAATATTAGTTTGGTTAAATATAGGTCATGATTGGGATGGGTAGAAAGTAAAGTCAGAGCTGGAGTGATGTCCTGGAAAGCTCCAGGAAAGTAAGAAAATGCTTAGCTTCTTTATTGAGGGGAAGGGGAAGGAGACTCTTAATGTGTCTCCTCAATGTTTCTCTAAGCATAAAAAATGTGTGCAAAGGAAAACTACTGCTTTCTACCTTGAGAAGCCCCAAAGGGTAGTTCCCAGCAGGCAGCTAGCCACTTGTCCCCTTTTTCCAAGTAAAAGCTTATTCATGAGACAGAATTTAAAAAAAAAAAACAAACATGAAGGAGCCTCCTCCACAAACTTCCCTGGGGATTGAGGGAAGAATTGGACTACATAATTGAAAAAAAAAATCAACCCCATAAAATGTCCCCAATTATAATTAGAACACATAATCAGATGACTGTTAGTATCATTTTAAAAATCAAAGTCACTAAAGAGATTGAATTGCATTTTCCCCTTTATTGAAAGGTATATATGCATATTCAAGCCCACAGGTTATGTAGGCACTGGAAGATAGTGCTGATTTGTGTGTGTTTACAAAATCTCAGCACTATGTACTCCACAGAAATGAAGGTGCTTGCCTGCTAAAATAGGGGAGAAGGAAGTTGGATCATCAGCACATGTGCCATGCCATATTTTAACTTGAATGAATGAGCAAATGAATGGATAAACAAACATACCCTGAAAGGCAGTGTGTTCTCATCCAGCGATCATTAAAATGAGTATACCTGGATTCTGTTCCTATCTCCACCATGGACCATCAATCTTTTCATCAAGTAAGAACTTATTTTTACAAGAATTAAACACTTTCAAATAATTCTTTTATTTATATCTATTTAATTCTCTGGAAATTGCCACAATGATTCTTATCTCGGGAAGAATCACAGGCTTCATTCCCATTGAAATACATTTAGAAGGGTACAAAGTAAGCATGATTGAATAAATGTTAAACTAATATATGGCACTTAATGAATACACACACATTTATTTCTTATTTAAAGGATATATGCATTCTTTAAGATATTAAGATATACACATATGCACATTCTTTAAGGAATAAGGTATCTGTGTAATATATATGTATATGTGTATATATGTATATATTCCTTACACATAAAGCTTATCATTTTCTGCCACATTTTAAAACAGCAATCCAGTTTTGTTGTTCTGTTTACAATATGTCATGGGAGTTTTACCATAGTCAATATGTTGTTTATTTGCACCTAAAGACTGCATCACTCATCGCTCAAAAGATAAATATTCTTATTATGTCTGCGGACTCTGCTTAGAGGCTAAGGTTTATGTCATAGACTGCTTTCAACTGGTATATTTTGTGGCACAGATTCAATGGGAATCTGATCTGCTGAAAATATTTGGGCTGTGAAAACTCCCACACTGTGACAGATGTCAAGTCCAATTAAGTGACTCGTGTCCAGGTTTCTGTCCAATAGGATTTCCCATTAAATATCAATTTAGGGAAAAAGTTCCATCCTCCTTCTTAAGCCTTTATCTCTTACACCATCTCTAGGCTGAATCAATTGGTACCAGGAGAGCCAAGAAGCCACACACGGATCTCTGCTGGTTTTTTTTTTTTCCTCTGCTCTACCACCTCTCTCCAGTGTTTCTCCTCTTCACTGTCACAGTGACTAGCGGGAGACTTTCACTTTTCACCAACCCAGCATCTTCAAGCTACTGATTATATTTTTATTACGAGGTAAAGAAAAGGGATTCCAGGGTGGAAGGGATGTGAGGGTGGGAGATGTGATATAGCCAAGCCTTGAAGGATTTCGAAAATATATATCTATTTATACGTATAAATAAAGGAGGGCGAGGGAAAAGACAATATTATTCCCGAGTTACAGTATTGTGTTCCTGGGAACAGGAGAGATACCAGCGGAACAAAGCCTTATCTGGGGGGGAAATCCTCAATTCTGGTGAGATCGCATCTCTGACCTGTATTTATCAGTTTTCTCCTAAGATTTATTAAGGGAAGGCAAGAAGTGCAAGAGGAGAGAAATCTTATCTTAACCATCGTTCTTATTGATCTGTTGGCTATTAGAAATCAGCTTTTGCTTTGATGGTATTTATTTCTGCATCTCTTTTGTTATTTATAGAGACCTGGAAGCCGATAAGGGAAAAGGCACAAGACTTTTCAACAAATCACGTGAAAACCGAAAACCAGCCAACGAAAAATTTTTATATATTTTTTAAAAGAGAGGAAATGTATTTTTAATATAACTGCCAAGAGAACCTTCATTTCTGTTCCAAACCGTGAGGAATTCTCTTCCGTCACTGTGGCCAACAGAGAGATGAAAGCTTCGTTTTAATTTTTGAATACAACCATAATTTGTTGCTTATAATAATTTTGTCCTTTGCCGAGTTGGGGATTCTAACCCCTACCCCTTCCCTCTTCCCTGGGATCTTCACTCTGAAAGAGCTGAGACAAGATCTTTGAGAAGGTTTTCCCCCCCAAGGTAAGTTTCATTCATCCCATCTCTTCTTTAACACTTTAAAACTGAGTTTGCACTGTGGGGAAAACAAACAAACACATCTAAAAATTTATTTTAGTTTCTTTCCAAGGAAAAAAAAAAGAAATTCCTACAGCAAATTCTGTTTCAGGAAAAAAAAAATGGAAGAGAATCCAACCCGCTGTTCGAGGGCGAACTACCAACTTTGCACCCAAACTACAGCTGTGGATTGCCTTCTTTGGGTTTTTCCAGAGCTAGGGACTTATTTAGGTCCATGGGAGATGAGTTCTAAACACAAATAGCCTTTAAATCACTGGGAAGGACTCTCACTTCTAAAGCTCGGTGTCTCAGCTTGTTTTCCTTTTCCTTTTTGGTTTGGTTGTGTTTTTAATGATGCCTCTGAAGGCTAGACTCTTTTCCTCAGAGGAAGGAAGAACCATAAAGAAAAGAGTGTTTAAAAGGTATTTCACTACCAAATTTGTACCGAGAGTGCAGTGTCCAGGACGGTACCAGGAATGCTCTTTCTCGCTTTTGTTTTCTCGAAAAGAGCACCCAGGTTACCTCGGAAATGAACGTGGACTCCCGGGGCAATAGGCTTTTGCATTCAGGGTTCAGAAGATTATGATTTCCTATGCGCTCTCTTCGCATTGGGATGGAAACACTAGCAGGTGATTTCTGCGCTCAGAGGCTCATTTCTTTAAACTGACGAAAGAGCGGAAAAAAGGGGTGGGGGCTGTGGAAGGATTATGAATTGTCAGTGTGTCTTCCTCGAATGTGTCTTTAAGATGAAGAAGCTGAGATGCCAAAGATGGACCCGAACTTAGGAGTCTCTCCCCAGGGTTTTCCTGTTTCGGGAAGGAGTGCGGACCCCAGTGGTCTTAGCGTGGGCCTCTTTCTGGACAGTTAGAGATGCTCCGAGAGCTCCCGGGCTGTGGGATTTTCTAAACTTTACCCCTGTGTTGACGACTTGGAGGTCGCGTTTTCTGTAAGACTGGCTTGATGTCTTCCCTCCCTTCCAGGTTCTTGTCACCCCCAGCTCCCCACCTGGCTCTCTAGCCACATATCTTCCACCGCCTCCCCCCGGCTGCAGACCACCACATTTCCTTCCCAAGGTTATTCTCGAACCGCCGGACGCATTGTTTTATTACAGGCAGGCATGTCTCTATAAGTTCCTGAATTTGTATTGCTTGTCTGCATGACAGATGGTGCTCTGTGAGGCTGCAAGGAGCTACGAGTCAATTTTCTTTTGAAAGGCGCCTCCGCGTTTATTTATTAATTTATTTACTTATTATTTCGGAGCCAGGGGAGGGCGGTAATGTGGGGTGGGGGCATCACCGCTCTCACCACCCACCGCCCCTCGGAGCCTACTCTCCAAATCCTGGAGCCAAGAACGGCAGCGGCCCCTCCCTCTCCCGCCCGTTCCCACCCCCGACACCCCAGCCCAGCCCAGCGTAGCCCAGCCCAACGCTCTTCCCGGAGCCCCAGCTCCCTTAGCTAGGCCTGGCCTGTCTCAATCTTGGTCTCTTTCCCTTCTCCCTCCCCTTCCATAGACTCCGCGGGGAGGAGGGGGGGAGGAACTTGGCCTCTTTATGGAGCTCTCTTCCCATTAGAGAGTAAAGCTAGACCGAGATCCTAGTGTATGCGCTAGAGTGAGACAGAGCCTCCTGGGGCACCGGGCTCTGAGAGCTGGAGCCGGACAAGCGAGGCCTCGAGGTGTGTGCCAGGCACATGTCTGGGATGGGCCTCCTGCTTCCCTTGTAAGGGCGCAGTTACTCCTCCGAATGGACTAATTTGTTGTCCCTAATCATTCTTTTTGTTAATTGGGAGTGAGGAAAGAGAGAGAGAGAAAAAAAAAAACGGGAAAGGAGGGAGGTGGAAGAGAGAAAGCGAGAGAGACAGAGCCAGACAGAAAGACACTGACAGAACAGACAGACACAGAGAGACAGACAGATACAGGCAGACGCAAACAGAAAAGGAGGCAAGCAACAGACAGACCCTGAGACTTAGAGAGTTAGTAGTTTACGGGCCGTAGAACAAAAACCCTGCCCAGAGTCGGGTGTACTCCCACGTTTGTCCTCTGACTCTGCCGCCGATCCCTTCTCTGACCTCTCCTAAGCTTGACTCGAGTGACTGGAACTCCGTCCTCCTCTCTGGAAATGAAGTTGCGGCCTGTGGGAAGTTGCCACCAGGGTCTCTCCCCGGCCCAGAGCGCCTGACTCGCCCCTTGGCCAAATTGCTTGCTTCTTAGGGGGAGGGCGGCCTTCGAAGAAGTGGGTCGCCTCTTCTGCCAGCCGGCTCCTGCCTCCCGCCCCTGATCAGCTTTGTCCTCAAAGCGCGCCCTCCCTTCTACCGTCTCCCTTTGCCCTCCCTCGGTCTCTGTCTCCCCGGGGTTCGGTACCCGTTCCCTGCTCTCAGGACCGGGGTCAGTGACTACTGTCTCTCCCCAGCTCCCTGTCATTCTCCTGGGATCCAGAAGAAGCTGAGGTGTCTGGGGTGGGGGAAAAGGGTGCTGACCCATCCGCGTGTGTGTGTGTGTGTGTGTGTGTGTGTGTGTCTGGGTTGGGTTGGGTTGTCCCTGGGGCGCTCCCCCAACCCCATTAAAAAGAGGGATTGATTCCTTTTTGTCGTTTTAACCCCACCCCCAGCCTCCAAAATGATGCTCAGTCCGGACCAAGCCGCCGACTCGGACCACCCCAGCTCTGCACCCTCGGACCCCGAGTCGCTGGGTGGACCGGACGCTAAGGTGCTGGGCAGCGTGTCGGACCTGGAGCCGGTGGAGGAGAGCGAGGCTGATGGCAAGGGCGGCAGCCGAGCCGCGCTCTACCCGCACCCGCAGCAGCTGAGCCGCGAGGAGAAGCGGCGCCGCCGCCGGGCCACTGCCAAGTATCGCTCGGCCCACGCCACCCGGGAACGCATTCGCGTAGAGGCCTTTAACCTGGCCTTCGCCGAGCTCAGGAAACTGCTGCCCACTCTACCCCCGGACAAAAAGCTCTCCAAGATCGAGATCCTGCGCCTGGCCATCTGCTACATCTCTTATCTCAACCATGTGCTAGACGTTTAGGGACAGGAGTCGGGGGGGGGGGGGCAGGGAAGGGGGGGAAGCCGACTCGTCTGTCCCCGAGGCCCGGACAGATCGAGGCGGCCGTAGCCGGGACAGTGGTATTGGGGGTGCAGGAGGAGGACGCAATGTTGCTGTTGCTGCTGCTGCTGCTGCTGCCCAGGAATGACTTTGACAAGCGGAGAAGCTTGGAAAATATTCTGCTTAGGGAGACGGGAAAGGTGGGGCCACCCCTTCTGATCTCGATGGGGTGGAAGGGAAAAGGGGAGCATTACGATTCCGCGGATGCAGAAGGTTTTCAGTTCTATTTTTTTTTTTCAGGCCAGGAGTACCTCATGAACCCCAGCTGAGATCTCACCTCCAGGCCTCCTCTCTCCTGATTATCTATTACTATCCCTTGCATGGGTCAGCTTGAGCTAACTCGAGGGCTTGCATTTTTTCACCCTGATCTGCCACTCCATCTTTTCTTTTCTCTTTTAAAGGATGAAGGCAAAAGGGTGTCTTAGGCTAGTGGGAATTTTTCTCATTGAAAAAAATCACCAAACATTCAGGAAAAAAAAAAAATCTCTTCCACTGTGGAGATTAAAGGCCCAGTAAGATGGGAAGGAAAGCTTTCCTTTTTGTAGGGACAAGAAACAATGCAGAAAACTGGCAAACAAAAACAAACAAAACAAAAAACAAGTTGGTTATTTTGCAAGGTGAAAAAGAGAACCAGGAGGAAATAAACACATTGTAAGACGATTTGAAGCAAGATCTTAGTTGCAAGATATGATTATAGAAAGAGAAAAATCCATATTTACATGGATAATTTAATATCAAATTGCTTTTTTCAGGCTAAGTGCCCCTTTACATATCCAAAAACATCTACTTGTGACCTTAAACATGTGACCCATGGGTGCAGTTAGAAAAAAAAACAACTATTTTTTATTTACGTTACAAGGAGTAGACTATTTTTTTCAAGACATTTATTTTTCAGAGTGGTGACAATTTTACTTTGGATACTTTGTGCCAATTTATTTCTATAGTCAAGTGTTTACACTTTTTCCTGTGGAATAATTATGTCTAACTTTTTAAGTGTTTGTTGGGGTTATCCAGTGGTCTTCTTTTTGCGCCAATTATATTGCACTTGTATGATGAACGCTCCTCCCTGTTTCTAAACATATTTTATATATTCAGATGTTTGTTCTTGGAGGTTTTTTTTTTTTGTGTGTGAGATCAACAACACTAGCACTTCACTATTATAGTTTTCTAAAAAGAATTACTTGTTATTCTTATCTGTAGTTATGTCAGAAAAGTACTTTGCAAACAGTTTATATAAGGAGAGTAGCTTCTTTGTGTGTGTGATGTATGTGTGTGGGATGTTTTTAGGAAATTGAGTTATTTTCCTAAAAAAATAAAATCCAGAACTACTTTCCTCTGTGACAACCAAAAAAAAAAAATCTATAACCTGAAAATGTTTCATGTTTCTGCTGTGAATCTCTTAAAACAAGGAGAGCGTTTTAGAGACAAGGAAAAAAAAAGAACACATCTGCTATCCAAAGATTTTAGTCTTTTTCAGGGTTTTTTTGTGTCGCTGTTGCTTTATATAATGCAATATTTTGTAGTGAAAATAGATATAATCTGGTTTCTATCTGACGCGTTTTTCATATCTCATGAATGGTGCGCTGTTTTGCATATAAATAAAGTTATCAAATACAATTCTTTCTATTTTTTAACTATGCTGTCTGAAAATGTGAAATGCACTATAGCTGAGCATAACATGTTCTAATAGAATGCAATTCTTCAGAAAGGGTAAGAAGGTCCTTAAGAATCAATGTTTATGTGACAGAATATTTGATCTACTTTCTTGATGTGAGGTATAGTACAACTGTAGACATAACTCACATGATATAGACATGGACCATAATATTCACATATGGGGGGGAAAGATACACTATTACCAAACGCATACACACACATGCACATATACATACATATGTGTGGGTGTCTATATATGGAGAGAGTATGTATAAATATGTATGTATATATACATATACACACACTTTGCCTCTTCTATGAGTATATATGTATGCATGTGTGTGTACACATTCTCTATGTGTATGTCTTTATGTGTATATATTATATATTATATACAGACCATATGTACATATTATATACATATTATTATATGTATATATTATATGTATGTATATGTATACGTATGTGTATATATATGTTATCTGTCAATAGTATTTGGACAGTGCAGGGTTCCCACCACTCTCTTGTAAGACTTAAGAGTCCAATCAGGACTCAGACTCAAAACTTAATACCAGTCAGCAAAAAAGAAAAAAATATATAATAACCTTGAAATGTGAAGTACTATTTATAAAATCCATAGATAATATATGGGCACAGATCATGCTGTTCACATATAAGCACAGAGCATGTGGAGAACTAGAAACAGAGCATATTTTCATTGGAAAAGGACACTGACATGCTGGTGGCAGTGTCTATACAATGCCAAACATCTGGATGAAAAGTTTAAAATTCAGTTAATCATCTGATTATTGGATTTTTTTATGTGCAGATCATCTGGAGGATTAGCTAAAATATTGATTTTTCGTGCAGATATCTTGGTGCTTTCTATGTGTTCTTATGTCTTCATATGAATGCAATTGGGAAATATATACATACATACATATATGTCTACATTTGCATGTATCAAATACATGCAACGTGTTATTACTGAGCTTGCATATCCTCTTCATATTCAGGAGGGGACCAGAAACATGTTGCAGTCCTGGACAAGAAGCCTAGTGGTGCTTCCCTTTGCCCTGCTTTTGGAGAATGGCCCAGCCTCACAGCTGTACCCCTGGCTATGATTCTCCCCGTCTTGCAGTAACGTGTCCTGACTATGCCAGTCTGCTCACCCACATCCACTGAGAGAGTTGGGTTCTGCATTATTCTGTCCAGTTATCTACTTTGTGCCAGGGAACACAGCCCTGCTCTGTATCCAGGGAAAAGAATCTCCTTCCTGCTCCTACAAACCTTTGAAAGGCCTCCTTCTTCCAGTTTATCTATGAACAACTTCTAGCCCTCAAATAAAAAAAAAAAACCAAGTTCATTACCACATCACTAATAATAATCCTAATTCTCTCCTTTGCAATTAGGAAGGGACTACCAGTTCACTCTCTTGGGAAAAAAGAGAGAAAATTCAGCCTCTGATGCACCCCTGCATTTGTCCTTCCTTCAGTCAAGGACAAAAGGAGAGAATCACACTCTGGCTGTTAGCAGTTCCCATGATCCCAGGATATGATCTGTCTGGACCTCTTCGCTATGCAGATAGGCAAACTCATCCCTGGTGTAAACCATGGGCAGAAAGGTTCTGCTCGGGTATCGTATCAGAGTGGTCAAATATAGCAGCTGCCACATTTGCTTCCCTGTCAACAGTCTCATCCTAAACCTGATCCAGCAGCCTCCTGTGCCAATCACTCATCCATTCTTCTGCCCCATAGCTGCTTGAGGATGGCCCCTTCCTAGAACAATGTTTTTCAGTGCATAAAATAAAATAGGCCCTCCTTACCTCCTGCTACACTACCTATTCAGTACAGTAACTTGCCAAGGGCAGTCTTGTCTCCCTACCAGAAGCCAAGTCAACTTGGGTCAGCTTGTAACCACCACTAATACCAGTGCTATTTCCTATGCATGGGCCATTTCCTTGGGTCTCTTGCTATTGCCAGGATCCCATTCACACATGATTCTCCACTTGGCACAAAAAAAAGAGTCAGACATACATGATCTCTGTCTTCTAGGAGTTAATAGTCCAAGATAGGTAATACTGAAAAAGCATCATCTTCTAATGACAGTTTAACATTTTTCTTCACCTAAATGTCCTGTTCAATTCTTAAACTCAGCATGTCCAAAATTAAACTCATCTCTCCTCCCAACCCTCCCCTCCTCAAAAATTTCCAATTTCTGTTGAGGGCAGTAGCACTCTTCTAGCCATCACCATTCAAAACACTACATTTATTTTAACTCTTTCCTCTTTTTCAATCACCACTTCCAATGAGCTGCCAAGTCCTGAATATTCTACCTCCACGATAACCCTTCCAACTGTTTCCTTTTTCTCCATTCATATGCCTACCAGTCTTGTGATGCCCCGGCTCTCCTCTCATTTCAACTACTGTGATAGGCTCTTAACTCTTCTCCCTGCCTCCAATCACTCCGTTCTCCAATCCATCCTTCACCCAGTTATCAAAATAACCTTCCTAATGCACAGTTAAGACCAGCAGTCCCTTGATCAAGTCTTCGATGACTCTTCACTGTCTACAGGATAAAATACAAACAACTTACACTGGTTTTTAAGGTCCTCTATACTGGTTCCAAGATACTTCTCCAGCCTCATTTTCCATTGCTCCTTTTTTCACTTGTTACTTTACAGCTAAAATTGATTGTAAGCTGTTCTCCAGTCTCTTTCTACACTCTCCTACACCCATGCACTTTTATGGGCTGTGCCCCTACTCCCACATCTGAATACACTCTCTCTTTATTTCTACTTCTTACCACAACCATCATTTATTAAATGTCCACCATGTGCCATGCAGCATGATAAGATCTGATGACATAAAGAAAGTCAAAATCATGATCCCTGCCCTCAAAGAGCTCATATTATAAAGGAGGAGATGAATACAAACAACCAGCTGTAGACAAGGCATATAGAGAATAGATGGAATTTAATTTCAGAAGGAAAGGCACTAGTAGTTGAGGGGACTGAGGTGGAACTTCTTATAATTATCTTTTTCCAAGTTTAGGTATCAAAACTATCTCTAAACCACTTTCCTCATCCCCCAAATTGAAAACGTTCTCTCCACTCTTGAATTTTCTTGGATCACTTTGTCTTATTCTTTCCTTTTTCCCTAATATATTCTATCTTGTCTCAAACATATTTGTGTGATTGTTGGGTTCTCCTAATAGTAAACTGTAAGTTCTTTGTGAGCAGAAGCTGTTTTGGTTTTTATATTTTT